ACAGAAGCGAACACCCAAACAGACCTCTGCTTCAGGAGGAGCCTCCGCCAAGGCACGTCAGGGGCACCTATTCGTATACAAGGACGCAGTCCAGAATACGTAGACCAACCACTGGACCCGACGACATACAGACCAGCCTATGCGACATCCATAGAGAGTCAGTCACCACCTACCTTGATTCTCGACCTATGAATGCCGTAATATGAGCCCAATCATCACCTGTAGAAGAGACGGAGCTTCAATTGCCAAGAGAGACCCGCGATACCCTGGCTCAATTACGGTCTGAATTNCCGTAATATGAGCCCAATCATCACCTGTAGAAGAGACGGAGCTTCAATTGCCAAGAGAGACCCGCGATACCCTGGCTCAATTACGGTCTGAATTCTGTAGCCGCCTCAACAGCTACCTGTCCAGACTCGACCCCAATATCCCCAATGAGTGCCCGGCATGTGGGGAGAATCACCTCACGACACCAACCACCTCTTCACATGCCAGCTCAATCCGACTCAACTAACACCCATCTCCCTCTGGTCCGACCCCATTGAAACCGCTCGCTTCCTGGGCCTCCCGTTAGTTGAGCTTGACGAAACTGATTGAACGTTGACCCGAAAAAGGCGGGGCTTAGTTGTGCCGCTACAACAACAACAACAACCCGCGTTACCCTGGCTCAATTACGGTCAGGATATTGAAGCCACCTCTACAGCTACTTGTCCAGTCTCGACCCCTCCCCAATGTGTCCGACATGTGGAAACTGCTCCCATAACACCAATCACCTCTTCACATATCAGCTCAATCCCACTAAGTTAAAAGCTCGTTTCTTGAGCCTACCGTTAGCTGAGCTTAACGATAACACAGCTAAAAAAAAAAATAAATTGTTCCTGTTACCAGACCATTCCTTTTATATGTTTTTTTGATCACTGAATCAAACTCCGACGCCCATTCAACCCCATCACGTCAAGTTCTTTCATAGCCTTTCATAGCCTTTGGTTTTTCCGCGAGTGGGGTGACAGGGTTGAAAAAACCTTGACATGATGGGGTTGAATGGACGTCCGATTTTGATTCAGTGATCAGAAACATATATTTGCACATGTTATTTAATAAGACTGAAAGAATATTTTAAATTTTTTTCAAATATTTTTTTGGTGCTCCAGAACGATGTTTTGCACAAACTTTCTTAGTATAAATATCAGTTGAAAATTTCATCCAATTCCGTTAATAGTTTATGAGATATTGTGAGTCGGAAGAAAAAATGCTATAAAAATTGTTTGTGCAATAACTTGCGAAATATATGTTTTTTCGAAGTTCTGTTGATGGGAATTCCTTTCCATGCTCCTGATTTACACATCCACCATATTAAAATTAAAAATCAAAAAACTTTAATTTTTACTGATCGATTTCACGAATTCTGGCTCATATAAAAATAATCAGCTATTCTGCATTTCGATTACGTTCCCGCATTCCGCTCCGCTGGAATCGAACTTAGGTATTCTGCGTTACGATCGAAACGTAAGAAGAAGAGGAAGACAGAAAACATCTTTCGGAATTTACTGTTTGCCTAGGAATGTGTGAAATCGAAACAAAACAAAGAAATATTTACCTCCAAACTATAGCAGCATATGAAGCTAAAGTTTGTAAATATTTTAAAATAACTAAATATACCTAGCATCACTGTTATTTAAAAATAAAATCTAAGTGGATACATAATTATAAGAATGAAATTCATAGCCGCGGCGTTATTGCTTGAAGAGAAGAACGAGTCCCAGATTGCTGGTGCGGAAATTGAAAGGCGGAGATTTAGGGACATGTTTGATCTTTTTCAGATGAGTGAAGAGTCATAAGAAATTCATCTTGAACTGTATTACTCATCGCTTAAAGTCAGTGAAATTATAAACGTTGTTTGAGCAGTCCACAACATTTGCATTTACTACAGAGTGGAAGATTTGAACGCAAATGAATCCCATTTTGAAAGCCGTCAGGAGGAGGGGAAGAACAAAGCTTATCTTTCCATAGCAAATCGAATTCGAAACAACATACTCTTTTTAAAAAGTTAGTAAAATCGAGTGCAATAATAAAAGCATATTTTTTATGTAACCTCACATTTTATGTATGTATGTATCCATGTGCATACATCTATTAATTTTATATAAAAAGAATAAATTGTATTCACTGCATTTCACAGTCTTATTTATAGATAATCTAAACAAAAACGCCTGGACTTACACTTTGAAAACGTCGCGCAATATCCCTTTTGGTTGCCATTATTAGAGCCAATTTTTCGTACTGCCCGTATTACCGCTCGCGAAAACACAGAAATCGAGAAAATTCATTTACGATGACTTACAATCATATATATATTTATATTTTACTTAATTTTTTTTATAAAATTATATTATTTAAACCCATGAAAATAACAATTGAAACGTTGTCCGTCAACAAATTTGCAACTTAGAAAAACGGAACTACGATCGAAATGTAGAATAGGTATAATCGTAAATTTCGAAGATTGATCGAAAGGAAACGGAACGCAGAATACCAAAGTCGCCAAACGGAGAAAATTTCGATTCGAGTCGAAATGCAGAATAGGCATGAATGGTCTGGTAACGGGAAGAACTTGTTTTTTTTTTTTTGTAGAGCTGTGTAATGATTGATAGAAAAACCGACCCAGGCGGGGCTTAGGAGTACTGCTACAACAACAACAAGAACAACAACAACCGATCAACTCCCATATAACGGTAACTTACAGAAATACGAAAACTGCGATAAGTTAGCGACTACTAAAGCGAATTGAAAATTTTGAATCCCCAATTAAATATAAAGTCGAGTCTTCTATAATACCGGCGTTAAGAACAAATTTAGCTTTTGATATTGGTTATCGTGGATTCCAGAATCTTAACTTCTTCCAGAGCATTTGTATATGCTAAGAGGGTGATACACATGTACTTTCAAGAGTCGTGCGCATTCAATGGTTGGACCATATTCCTCACTTTGTGGAGTTTTTTCCAAATGCAATTTTTCTCGAATTATGAGGCCAAGATTTTGGTAAGTTTTTCATGCAGCTATAATATATTTTGTTAGTTTTTACCGAACTTTGTAAGTTCTATGAATAATCAAAATTTATTGCAGACTCTGAACGGCGGTTTTATTTTTATGAGAAGCTGTTTTTCATGGCAGAAATACTCTCGGAGGTTTGCCATTGCCTGCCGAGGGGCGAGCGATATTAAAATAAAACTTTTTATTTTTTTTAGTTAGTTTAGTAGTGGTAGCGCGCATGGCTAACCCATTACACCACAGCGGGCGCACATATCGAGCCCTAACATGCCAAAATCACGCAAAGGACATTTTTTCAAAATTTTCTTTTTGATGCAGAAATATTCCAAGAGCATCTAGATGCATTTCTGCATTAAAAAGAAAATGTTGTGGAAAAACGTCGATTACGTTATTTTGCGGTTAGGGCTCGATATGGCGTTTAGGTAAATTTGATTTGATTGGTTTCACCTGATTTGCACTCAAGCGTAATCTTCATATCTTCACAGAAAATGTACAATATACTGAAATAGATTTTGTGGTGAATACAAAGGTTTATGGGGTTTAATAGTATTTATTGTATATTTCTCAATAAGTATGCATGTATATTTTCAAATTTTTGGTTAATCGCTAATCAATGTTAAATCAAATACCTTTTAATTTTTCCACTAAATAGTCAGATGAATCAGTACGTTTTTTTAATATTATCTAACAAAATATCTGTGACTCCGGAACATCACCGGTTTCGGTGTGTCAGGATTAAAGGATGACCTTTCCCTACTCGTAGCGAAAAGTATTTACTTCCAAAAGTTAAGATTACAACATAGATAATTTACGTAACAAAATTAGACAGTTCTTCAATTTCAAATTATAATATATACTTAATACACAGGCGCCACAGATATTTATCTATTTGTTAATTCAAATAAAGAAAATCGCAATTTCCCATTCTTAAATACATAGTTTACAAAAATTAGTCGCTTTTGGTCATAAATTCAAGAAACGATCGATTTTACACCTCAACATATCACAACAATGCGCGTTTTGGCCATTACAGCTGCAATATTTTAAATAGCATCTGCTGGACGATTAGTCGACACGCCAGCTTCTCCACCCTCGTTGCCCGTTTCGACCGTTAGATCAGCGTATCTATTGCGCATCAAACGAGCTAGTAAAGAGCGATACCATTCGATGAAGATCGCATTACGGTAAGCGATCGTTCCCATTTGTAGTATTATGAAGCCCATAATAGTGATAAGATTGAACATTTCCCATTCCAACAAGAATGCCATCCACCAAATGAGAAAAATACGCAGGCCATCGGCAAGTAATCGATTTGCTGAAGACGAGTATTTCACAATTGTTAACGAGGCAAAGTTATAGCACGCACTTGAAATGATAAATATAATAACAGGTGCCCACAGTGTTGGATTACTACGTATTTGCGGAATAACATCGCCAAGATCGTCAAAAACCTCGCGTGTATTATTATTAAGCGGAACAGGTGAAGGTAAGAAATTTAGGCAAAAGCCTAGCAGAAGCGTGAACAATAGACCGAATATGCCTTGCCAGCCGGTAGCTAACATTGTCGGTATATCAGTACCCTTAAGATACTTTTCATCATAAATAAATTTGGCGGCATGGAAAATTTGTGCGAAAACAACTAGTAAGTTGCCGGTTAACACTGCATTGCCGTCCCATTTGGGCAAGGAAGAGCGATCATATTCAACACGATGCACGTCAACGGACATGATAACCACAATGCCGCAGCTGATGGTGAACATAGCCATCCAATGGCGTGCAGTAAGCGTTTGATTGAGATGAATGGCACCGAATATACCAACGAATATGAGGGCAGCAACTGGAAGTAAGAAAATTATCATGTTTAAAAATGTTAATTTATACATATGCACATATGTACATTAGGGTGTGTAAAATTGGTCGGGAGAAAAAAGCATGACGATAAGTATAGCAAAACGTAATCTTCGGGAAATTCTAAGAAGATTTGCCCTAGAAACTATGGGTCCCAAATGAGTCCGCAGTTTTTAATAAATGTAAATAAAAATAAATAATTNTTTCAAGGGCAATTTTTCTTACAGCCGGTTTCACCAAATGGAAAAACGGGTAACTGACATTTTTTGCCAAAAATTGGATTTGCTCACACAAGCTCGTGGCTCCTTATCCATTCGTCCTGAAATATACTAACCAGAAATGCGATTGCTTTATAAAAAAGAACTATTTGAAATATGAGTGTTTTTACTATCTAATAATTTATGCAATATCTTGATACGCGGTTTTGTACTTTAAACCACGATATGATTGTTATGTTGTCAGCCTTTGTTATCGTTATTCAAACTACATAAATATTACTCACCCCTCAGCATCTGAAAGCTGGATATATAAGTTAAGTAGAGGCCGGTAAGCATCATAGCCGAAGCAATGGCATCCAATACCGCCGGCAGCAACAGGTGAATCGGGGAAAATTCCCTTTCGCCCCGTGTTAGTATATTTTCACCTTCAGCACCCGTCTGGAAATTGAATGATTTTAATAATATTTTACAGTTCATAAACAAAGCGAAGGACAGAAAATGCATCAAGTGGAAAGCAACAAACAGCGCTTATCACCAACGACCATACAATCGCATTTTTATGCGCACTTTTTAAGTCCACTCACCCCGCGTCGTTGAAGAAAAAAATATGCAATTT